TATAAATCTCAAATCCAGCCTTGTATGGAATACTGTTGCCTTATCTGGGGCCGATCTTCTAATGATGCCCTTTCTCTTTTAGACAAGGTGCAAAAATGCATTGTAAACATAGTTGGACCTGCTCTTGCAGCCAACCTTCAACCTCTGTCACATCGTCGTAATGTTGCTTCTCTTTCTCTTTTCTACAAATACTATAATGGGCACTGCTCGAAAGAGCTAGCGTCTCTTGTGCCATCTACTAAAATTCATTCTCGTGTTACTCATCATTCAATTAAGTCTCATCCTTTTTCTGTTACTGTTCCTAAGTGCTCCAAAAACTCTTATTCGTCTAGTTTTTTTCCTCGAACATCAGTTCTTTGGAATTTGCTTCCTTCATCTTGCTTTCCTGATTCATATAATTTTCAATCTTTTAAGTCGTCTGTCAATCGTTATCTTGCTCTACAATCTTCATCTTTTCTCTTCCAGTAACTTCCAACACTAATTAGTGGTTGCTTGCAGCCTTGTTGAAAGCGAAGATAATTAAAAAAAAAAAAAAAAAAATTTAGCTTTAATAATAACATAATAAAAAAACTAAAAAATATTTTCAGTAGCTGGAAATGTAATGTATTTAGCTACACGGGTAATATAAAGTGGTAGTAATATAGTATTAAGTCATATCAAAATATAAAAAGTTATAAGATTTGTTCAAAACTAAATATTTTTTATATTTGTAAAATATATGTAAAATAGTAGTGTTTTCGTTATTATTTTAAAATTAAAAAGACAATTATATTATTTTTATTATTCAATCTTGTTTCAAAATTGCTATTTTATTATAAAGTTACTACACCATAAAACTATTAAATACACATAAAGCATTTATTGTACTACTCTAGGAGCTAATTATATAACAATAATATTTTAAAAAATATGTGGCTATGGAAATAGTTGTTTTAGAAGGTTCAAGTCATCTTACTTTCTCTTTAATATTCTTGTTCCAAAATAGAGGGTGTTTTATAATTGATGTTCTTTATATATCAATTTAGTTTGACTTTTTAAAATCTTGAAAACTTTCAGATTTTCTTTTGCAATGTAAAATCTATGAACTTGTATATGAAATGTTAGATGACCATGCATACTGAGCAGCAAGCAAATACGATAAACACTGCTTATGATACAACTTAGACACGTTAGAACTAAAACCAATTGTAAAATTAAAGGTACCAAAAACATTCCCACTAAGTCATAATAGTTTTTTTTGTTTAGTAATGTAGTGGGATACATGCTTAAACGCTATAACATCATTGATAGTCATGATTTGCTACTTCAAAACATGAAAGAAAAGTACAATTTTGGCTAAGTTTAAAAAAAGAATTTTTTTTTTCAGAAAATATTTTGTAGAATCAGCGGTAAAAATTTTCAGCATTTCCATCAAATGAATCAGTTACATTTTTACGACGAACTAAACTGTAATGACTTCTTCTTGTTCACTTTGATTCGAACAGTGCAGAGACTTCTGCAATGGGGGACGCTTTTTAATAACAATTTTATAAGTTAAAAAAAAAACAAAAAACAAGAAAGATAAAGAATAAGAAAAATAAATAAAATAAAAATGAAGAAAACGAAAAAAAGAAAAAAAAAGAAATGAAGAAACAAAAAACAAATAAAGAATTAAAAACCAAATCAAATAAATTAACAAAAGAAAAAAAAAACATAAAAAGAAACGAGAAAAGATAAATAAAAGACAAAAAACTAAAGTTGAAAAAAAAAAAAATTTGAAAATGGAAAGTAATTAAAAATAATTAAAATAAAATATAGAAATTGTTCCGTTTTTGAAGATAAGAAAAAATATATATATATCATTTTTATTTATTTTGAGGGAAGTTTGTTTTTTGTTGTTGCTGTTTTTTGTTTTTGTATTCTTGTGTATTGGACATTGTAGTGTATATTTCATATTGTTATATGTTTTAGTACGATGTTTGCATCGGTATGTATTTTTTTTAGTTTTTATGTTGGTTAGACATTTTTTTTAAATGTATATTTTTGAAGCTGTATGTAAAATGTATATATTTTAAAGCTATATATGTATATGCATCTATATGTGTATGTATACATATGTATGAGAGTGTATGTACGCGCGCATGTTTATTTATGTGCAAATATAAATATAAAAATATACTCTCAGTCTGGTCACCCCTTAAAGCTCAAGTTATTTTACCAAATCTATAGAAAACAGCCCGCATTTCCAGTCTAGTTAAATACTATGATTATGCCTTATGAAAGTTTAATTAACAGCAATTATTAGCTAAACATTTTATCGGGTACAAGTATTCTAGAAATTCTTATTTAATCATGCGAGAATATATTTAATGAAATTTATTTAGTAAAGCTCAACAATTATTGGTCAAGATTGCAAAAAAGTATAGCATTATCGATTAAATTTTAAAACTGAAATCGTTTAATGAAAAACTTTTTATTGTAAATTTTAGTAGTTTTTCAATTTGTAATTTTAAGAGATAGGTTATTATAAAATACTTGCCAAACATAAATTGGAAAGTATTAAATACAATTTGTTTTTTAATGCGCGCTGCAACAACTTTAATCGCTATCTGTCTTGAATTATTGCCATAAAACATTATTTGTTGCTTTAATTAATAAAAGCTATCTGCAAATTTGTTAAGTGTAAAATCTATAAATATTTTCTAACTAAAAATTTAAGAATTAAGCAAATATCTCTAATAAATAATGTCGTTTACCAAAATTTTTTATTAATTAAAAATTTAAGAATTTCTAAAATGTCATTTCAATAGAAGAACAAAAACGTCATAGCAATAAACGGCTTAGATAAACTAAAAAAAGTTCACATGAAAAGAAAAAAAGATTTAGAATATACAGTGGTTGGCCATCACATTAGGACCAGCTGTAATTTTTAGTAAATATCGTGTAAAAATAAATTTTTTGGCAAAAAGAAAAGAAATGGTGTAATTTAAAGCTTGTTCTTTTATTTATAAAGTTATACTTGATGAAAAAGAAACAAACAAAATTAAACATTTTGAATATTTATTGGTTATTACAATAAATTATATAAAATATATATTAAGTATTAATATTTTGTAAAACCACCTTTATTTGCAATAACTGCTTTGATTAGTCGTGGCATGGTTGCAATTAAATTTTTTATAGTTTCTGTCAACTCTGGGTTATTGTGCCAGATCCTGATAATATATTCCATAAGATCTTGCTTGTTAGTAAGAATTTTTTTCCAATATCGCGCTTTACTATTTCCCAAATGTTTTCTATGGGGTTAAGATCAGGTGAGTTGCCATGGCAATACATCTACTTTTTTCTGTTTTATAGCCATAACGCTTTTTGCTTTGTGGCAAGTTGCACCATCTTGTATAAATATAAGATTTTTGACATTTTTAGACCAATCTGCCATTTGAGGAAGGAACTGGTTCTCCAGAACTTCTTTATACTGGTCCTGCCTCATTGTCCTAACTACTTTGTAGAGACGCCCTGCTCCTTGCCCACAAATGACAGACCAGATCATTACTGAAGCTGGATGCTTGACTGTTTCCACAATGCAGTCAGGATGAAACTTTTTGTTTGTTCTACGACGAGCAAAAGCTGTTTTGAAAAGTTGAAAAGTTGATTCATCAGAGAAGCTAAATAATTCTTATTTTAAATTATAATATTTATGAATATATTTAAAATAGTTTATGAATATGAATGCGAATAAAAATACTTTTTCCCAATCCTCAACAGACCAGATGTATAACAAGGTGATCAACGACTTTTTTAGATTTATTTTATTTAAGAGTGTAATATAAATATCTTAATTTTATTTGGTTCTTGCGCTCTATAAAAAAACTTCCTATAAAATAAGAAAGTCATATGATTGATAATAAACGCTATTTCAAAAAACAAATAAAACAATAACAAATAATATTAATTCAAAAAAAAACTCTACAATGACGTCATTTACTTGAATAAATTATAGAGTCTGTAGATTGCAGCAAATATTTTAAAGACTTTGAGAGAATTGCTACTGTAGAGACAGCAAGCTTCGAGTAAAACAACAAAGCTTATTTTTGTTGGTATACGTTTATTTATTTATTTTTTTTAAATTCTGCTCAAATATTTTTTTTTTATCATTCTCTTTAAAATAAACACAAACTTGTCTTGGCACTTTGGGATCCCTTTAAGACCAGTTTTTAGTTTAAAAATTGAAGACTCTACAACTCGAAACAAAAAATATTTATAAATAGGGTCCTTTTCTCTATTAATTTTTTTGGTTGTTGACAACAATTTTACCATTTTTCATGCTGGTATCACAACTTGAACTATTTTACGCTTATACCCTCCAATATGATTAAGTTGGGAGAAAACAGAAAATAAAGAAATTTTAAGAGCAGTTGACAGAAGAATTTAAAAACTGTGAACTTTATAAATTGAAAAAAAATTAAGACAGGAGATAATTCTAAACCGTCAATGTAAAGGTGGTGGGAGGCAACAAAAATTAAACAGAACATTAATTGTCAAAAAAAAAAAGAATTTAGACCTCTGCAACTATGTATAAAAATATTTATGCATATATTTTTGGGATTTAATCTAAATGAACTTTTAAACAATAGTAAATTAAAAAAAAAATTCAACTTAAATGTTGGCTTTTTAAAAAATATTTTTTATCTATAAGAACTTATTCTAAAATCAAATATAATTAAAAAAAAAATTAAAATTTATCAATAAAATTAAGCTTGTTTCAAATTTTGGCAAAAACAGCAAAACTAAGATTAATTTAAAAAAATATTTTTAAACAAGTTTTGAGTAAACTTTTCATTTCAAACTATACATGTGCAAATTTTTTTTCTGATTTATTTCAAACTATACATGTGCAAAATTTTTTTCTGATTCAATTTCAATTATTTCCCAAAAAACAAAGCTCTTTACTTAGTTTGATGTAAAAAACACAAAATTCAACAAAAAAATATATAAGGTAAATAACAAATATAATAGCATACTTGTGATAATATGAGACCTCCATAAATCAATACCCTTGTTTTCATTGCTTTACCAAAATAACCTTTATACCAAAAATACATAGCAGGTAAATAAAATGCCAGTCCAACACCTCTGCCATACATCCTGTGAATCCATTCCATATTGAAAATAGATTTAAATTCGCTTAGTGTCATATCACTCCTAGCTCTAAAAATAAAAATTATTACCTTTTCTAAAAAGCTTTAAATGATTCTCAAGAGCAACTTTGTTGAAATTTTCAAAAAATTAAATAAATTATTCTCCTATTATGATCATTATTATAATTGTCATCATCATGATCATGATGATGATGATCATGATGATCATGATCATCATGATCATGATCATTATCATGATGATCATCATCATGATCATCATGATCATCATCAACATCAACATCATCATCATCATCATCATCATCATCATCAATATCATCATCATTTAGATATTCATACAGCTTAAATTCTGGAAAATTTTTGTAGCGCTCAAACTCTGCAAGCCACTCTTCATGAGAACGAGGAGGTTTCATATCTCTTATTAAATGCCAATCAGTCATTGACAGACCAGATCGAGTTAGACGAGTAATACCACCCAAAACAACTGCACCTGCAACTGTGCCAGAACAGCCCAATAGCCAGTATCCTTAAATAAATTATACAAAGCCTTTAAAAAAAATCTTAATACATTTTGGCAATAACTATTAAATAATATAATTATCAATCCAAATTAGCCAAAAAAGTAATTGAAAAACAAAGTTCATTAAATATTACACAAAATTGTGTAACAGTATCTTATGGTATATGTATATATTAATTTTAAAGCCCATTAAAATGTATTTCTGAAAAACAATTTTAAATGAAATCTAAAATGTGCTAAAATGAGCCTCTAAATCAACTAAATCTTTAGTTGATTTAGAGATTGGGGCAAGAGAGCAATATTTTGCTGATCTGAATACTTTTAGGCCAACTTCTACAAATCATTTAAATTTAGTGTTACAATAATAAAACTTAGAAGTAAATTTATCAGCTGTAATGTGTTCTTATTAATTTATTTTTATTTATTTCAAAAATGAAGTGGCAGTGACACAGACCTGCCTACAATGTTTAGTCAACTTTTTAACTAATTATTTTAATTTTTTTTTATTCTGATTTACTCCCAACAAGGCTGCAAGCAACCACTATTAAGTTGGGAATTATAAGGAAAAAAAAGAATAGAATTATAGAGCAAGGAAACGGTTGACAGAAGCCTTGATAAGTTGAAGGTTGTATGAGTCAGAATAACATGAAGATGGGAGAGAGTTCCAAAGAGTTGAAATGTGGGGGAAAAAACTAGACGAATAATGGTTTTTAGAGCATGCAGAAACAGATAAAAGAATGAAACTTTGCTGAATGACAACTTAGGCAAAAATGAGTTTTAGTTGATGGGGCTAGAGATAATAGCTCCTTTGAGCATTCATGACAGTATTTGTATAAAAGAGAATAAGATGCAACTTATAGTTGTTGGCAGTAAAACTGAGTTTTGTTGTTATTGAAATTTCAACCCTTCGAATTATGAAAAATGAGGTCAGCAATAATTTGCCGACCTCAATCTTTTATAGGTTGGCAAATTATTGCTGACCTCATAGGTTTTGTGAACCTGAGTTCACAAAACAAAATACTGTCATACTGTCACTTCCGAAAGTTATACTTCATAAGAATGTTTATTTTTAAGTAAGAATGTTTGTCTTCACGAAGATAAACCTTTTTGTGAAAAACCCTACATGGAGTTAAACCTGCTTTTTGTTCTTGCAGTTTTTTAACAGAAATATTCAATTTAAAGTTTAGCATTTATTTTCTTATACTTTCTTATAAAAAAACCTTATATTAAGTTACAAATCACATTTTACATGCAAAGACAGAAATGTTAAAATTAATGCATAAAAAGAAATTTTCACATACATCAAAGTAGAAAGTATGCTAAAAAAAGTAATAGTTGCTTATAGTTAAACATTCAACTAATACAAAGGTCTTACAATCATTCAAAACATTGACAATTATTTGCCAACTTCAAACACATTGAGGTTGGCAAATAATTGTTGACCTCAATGGTCAGCAGTTAGGTTGACATTGTCAAATGCTGACCCTAATTCTGAGGGTTGAAATTTACAAGCCACTACGAGCCCAATCTGTTACAGAAGTAAGATTGGATTCAAGATCAGAAAGAAGACTGATCATACAATAACTGGAGGGGTCAGAATATTCACTAAATTTTTTGAAAATTGGAACAACAGATGCTGTTTTCCAGCAGGCAAGAAAACAAGACTCAATCAATCAATAAGAACTCTCTTCAATTCTCTCAAAACTATTTAATCAATTATTAAATAGTTTTGAGAGAACTGGAGAACAATTTTGTATGACTATGACAGAAATGGACCACAAGCTGTAGAAGAGTTTAATTGATGTGACTTTAGCAACGGAAGCTGTAGTGATTTGAATGTCAAACAATGGGTTTAACCTGTTTAATTGGAATAAAAGGAAGAAAATGGCCATAAGATTCAAAAGTTGAATTTAAAGAAAAGTTCTTTGCAAACAGTTCTGCCTTATTCTTGGGAGAAGTAATAAGATCAGTATCATAAATAAGAAATGAAATGTTAGACCTACCCTTGTTAATGACGGTGTTGAAGATTTTCCAAAAGCCTGTAGAGCCTAATATCTGAGATAAGATACAAGATTTAGTGAACTGAGAATAATGGAGCTTTTCATCAGTCAGCACTTTTTTACATCAATTTCTTGCAATAGTAAATAGCTGTTTATTCTCAAGAGAGTTGTTCTTTTAAATAATATGAAAAAATGATTATGATTAGATATAGCAGCTGCAAAAGAAGGTGAAAACCATGGAGTAGAATAAGGTTTGAATTGGAGCCGAAAAAAAGAAATAAAAGTTTTCATTCCTGCCTGAATCACAATCATAAATAACAAAAAAATCCCATTGAAATCAGGTGTGCTAATTTTTTTTTAACATCAAAGAAAAAAATTTTTAAAAATTTTAATTTTAAAAATTTAAATTTTAAAAATCTAGTAAACTTTTATTTGAATGTTTCACATTTTTGGTCATTTTAGCTAAAAAAAAATTTTTTTATCTATTAGCATGTTAAACAATGTACACCATGCATAGATATGAAAAGTGGGAGATTTTTTTTCTTTTTTTGATAAACATTAGTATTAGTCTTAATATTTATTGAGAAACTACATTCTTCTCTGCCTACATTCTTTAATGTTATTAATTTACTTCAAATATTTTTATCTTGGCAAGCATGATTTAAAATGTAATTTTAATTTGCTATTTCAATTAAAATAAAAAAGGCAAAACAAACTTTTAATTTAATTTCTAAATAAAACCAAAACAAAAAAGGTAAAAAAGCGTTTTATTTGAACTCCAAATAAAATAATAAAAATAAAAATAGAAAAACAAATGTTTTATCTTAATTCTAAGTTAGATCTTAATTCTTTAAAATTAGAAAAAGTACAAAAAAGAGCTATAAAACTAGTACCAGCTTTAAAAAAAATGCCATATGAAAGACGATTGCAGTTAATGAAATTAACATCACTAGAAGAGCGTCGTTTACGAGGAGATTTAACTTTTCAAAATAAAATACAAAAAGGTAATGAGGAGATTAGTTGGATAAATGACTCAATATGTAAAGCACAATTAAAGCATTGCAATTTTCATGGTCATAACCAAAAGTTAACAAATGCGTACTGTAAGAGTAATGCTAGATTTAATTTCTTTTAATGTAGAGCTGTCGAAGTTTGGAATGGTTTACCGCCATATATTATAGAATTAACAACAATTGATCAATTCAAAATAAACTTGATAAATCTCACTATTGCAAAAGTAAAATAATTAAATTAAAAATGCAAAATAAAAATTTTATTGTAATATAAATGTTTTAATAATAAAATGTTTAAACATAACATTTATAATTTTATTATATGGTAAGAAAATTACTTCTTTATTAATTAATTTTTATCAAAAACATATTTTTTAATAACTATCTTTTAAATAAATTAATTTAAAGAATTAGAAGAAAAAAAAAGCAATTGATACAATTAAAAAAATGCTCATACTTTTATTATGAGCATTAAAATAAGAAAACTGCATCTAAAACAAGTGAAAAAAATTTAATTAAAAAACATGTGTTCACAAAGATTGCAAACAGAATGTTTAATCTGGTTTCTTTTCATATCTTTAAATATTTTTATTTCATATTTTAAATATTAAATATTTAAAATATTAAATAAAATATTGTTTAAAATCTTTAAATATAAATGTTATTCAATATAAAATAAATGTTAAATAAAAAACTCAAAAACAAAATTGGTCAAATGCTACATTTGTTTTTTTAAGTTTTTAAGCAAGTGTTGACGCTTAAGTAAAAAAAATTATACTTACTATATATTATAAAAGTAATAATACCAGTGTAGTCAGGAACTTCCAATAACATTGAAATTTAAAATTTAAATATTGCAAAAAAGCTTAAAGCTGCAAATAAAACTAAAAAATAATGCTTGTGTTTTCCCTGAGTATATATATTTTCAAAACAACCTCTCTGAATTTTCTAGGTATTGACTAATTTTCCAAATTTTTAAAACTTTTCCCAGCGCCATGAAGCTTGTATTACTTTAATAGTCTAAAAATCTTAAAAAATAAAATAAAATTCCTATAGATTCTTGTAATGAAAATAAAATAAAAGTCCTATAAATTCTTGTAGTTAAAGTCGTATAAATTCTTGTAGTCCTTAAATTCTTAATAGTTTTGAAAATTAAAAGTCTTGAAAATATATATAAAAAAAAAATCATCTATCAATTAGCTAGGAAGGTTCCACTGGTGCTTAACTAGGAAACTGGAAAGGTTTCCTAGTTAAGCATCAGGTTAATAAACCAGATATGTTTGTATACTATTTTGGTCACTTGGTAGGATTAGAAAATTTACACTATACTAAAATCATTAACATACCTATTATATATATATCATTGCTTTAAAAAATACTAACAATATTTCTAACATAAAAAATATTATCTATATGATATACACACATTTATTAGCTTACCAACCATCTTTGTGTGTTTTAATTTGCTTCCAGTTGTAACTTGCTTCAATGAAAGAGTCTCAGCGGCTGAAGCTACTGTGGCAAGTAATTTTAATTGAGATTTATACATTTTTTCTTAATAGAAAAAAAAAAGAAAATTTCACATGCAATACAAAATTTCTATTTATTATTATTAGCTGATTTAAAATAGTTACATTTATTAATGAACTGATTTTATATATTATTTTTTGTTAATTTATGATTGTATTTATCACATATAAATTAAATATTACATATGACAAATAATAAATTTATAAAAAAAGTATTAAACATTAAAACAGCAGTCTTATCATCATAAAGATAAATATAAAGGAAAAATAACACTCTGTTGTAAACAACTATGTAGCTCTCTTCTCTTTTTACATGCTAATATTTATAAAAATTATGAAAAAAAAAAAAAGATTTTCTTATTTTTTATATTTCAAGTTTAAAATATACAAATGCCAAACAAAATGAAGGATTGTTTAGGGTGGTTGGCGATAAAATATCGAATTACCCTAGAATATCACAACACCATAGTCAAAAGAAATACAAAATATTTATTTTTTTGACTATAACTACACTTTTAGAATAATCATTGTAATTACATAACATAAAATAAATATAAAAATATAAAAATACTAAAGTGCGTTTTTAAGCAATAGAACTTAGTAGAGCTGCGCGTCCGAATACTATATAACTAGCTGTACCAATACGGGTCTTAGCACTATATATTTTTTTTACATCTATACTTTTTTTTTTCATATATATATATATATATATATATATATATATATATATATATATATATATATATATATATATATATATATATATATATATATATATATCATATATATATATATATATATATATATATATATATATATATATATATATATATATATATATATATATATATATATATATATATATATATATATATATATATATATATATATATATATATTCAACTTTAGGCTTTATTATTCCATTCAATAAATTCAATTTAAAATTAGACTTAAAAACTGTTTTGTTAAGATTCTCGTTCATCTGGTTAAAACATCAAGAACTGGTAAAAATTAAATCTTGAAAGACAGCTTAATAGTTTAAAGTAGTCTTTATTTTTTACTTCGGAAAATACTTTAGGCTTTCTCAACCAAATATACTCAAAAGATTTACAGCCTATTTTCCAATCTATATGCATTCTAATTCGAATTTTTTAACGCAATGTCAGAACCTGTCGCAGGAGATGAGCGAGCTTTAGGTAAAATAAAATTGATTTAAAAAATGATTGTAGAGCCACTATAAAACGAACAGTTTTGAAATTGGATACTACTCTGTCGTAAGATGACATAATAAGAATAATAATAACAATTTTTGCTAGAAAAAAAGCAATAAAAAAGTGTTTGTTAGTAATAGTAATATATATTTCTGCATAAATAATATTTCACAGAGTATTTACCAATGCTAGATACCAATAATAGATACCCATCAATAGTATATGGTGGCTATAGCAGCCCGAGCTTAGCCTGTCAAGTAAAACCATAAATTCATAGACTGATTTTAATGTTTTAATGTCATTCGAAAGATTGTTTCACTCTTTAACAGTTCTGTTTTTGAAAAAGTTTTGTCGAATGTCTGAGTTGACAACCTCTAGCACAAAATTTTCTTCAATATTTCCTGCTAAAGGTAAGTTCCACTCTGCTATTTCTAAATTATTTTCTAGCTTAAACATTTGGATCATATCTCCGCGATTCCTTCTTATTTAATCTAAATCCAAATTTAACTCAGATTAGATCCAGATTTACCTAAAAAAATAGATGTAATTACATCTATATCCCGAGAAAAAAAAATCCGCTAATACTACTAGGATCCTAGTAGTATTAGCGGATTTTTTTTTCGGGAAGTTAACAGTATTTGAAACAAAAAGACAGTCATTAATTTGTATAATTGTACATGCTTTAGTTTTAAAAATATGCATGCTTATAGGTATTATTTTCAAGATAAATTATTTACGACCTTCTTTCAAAAAAATTGTATTAACATACATTACAAAATTTATATATATATATATATATATATATATATATATATATATATATATATATATATATACATATATATATATATATATATATATATATATATATATATATATATATATATATATATATATATATATATATATATATATATATATATATATATATATACTTTAAAATATATATATACATTTTTTTTTCCCAGAATAATATGTACAAGGTAAAATTACATTGAATATATTACTGGTAGGGCTTTCAGAAGATCAAACAATCTTATTATGAAGCCCTTTACAATCTATATCACAAGTTAAAATATATAAATAATTTTACAAATATGTAATTTTATATAATTTATATATTTTAATATTCTTTTTTATAAAGAGAATTAAAATATATTTTAATACAATTTTATATATTTTAATACTCTTTAGATGTTAAGTAAGTTTTAATAATATCTTATAATATATGTGAGTAAATATATATATATATATATATATATATATATATATATATATTTAGTTGCTAACCCGGCTATGGTCTAGAAAGTTGTTTTTTTATGTACTAATTTAGGAAAGTATTTACTTTTATGGATTGAACAATGTCTTCCACCTGCAACTATAATTACAAAAATTAGCAGACCCTATTATTATTCAAAAAAAATTTTCAAAATTATGTGATGTAGGTACTCAAATAAAGCGAAATTTTATAAAAATTTCAAAAATAATAATTTTTTTTATATAAAAATTATTATTTTAAATTTTATTGCATAATAACTATAGTTTTTTAACTAAAAGTGAAAAAGGTGCATGTTTACATGTTTTTTAATAAAAAATATTTTTTTATAAAATTTCGCTTCTTTTGAGTACCAGGTTGACCTACTTTTGAAAAACTTTTTTCTCCAAAATATTAGGGTACCGGTAATTTTCCCAATAAAGTTGCGCCCTTTAAATCTATCACAATCATTCTCATATTTGATAGTATCAATATTAATAACTATTAGCAATGTTTAGAGCCTGTAACAAGAAAAAAAAATTTTATGCCCCACCCTAATATATAATATTTCTCAATGTTTAATATTATGCAAAAACAAAAAAACAAACAGAAAAAGCAAACACAAGCTTGAAAAATTATAAATTTCATCAATATATATGTTATGGTAATATATAATATGTAATCTAAAAATATTGTTGTGCAGATTACAATTCCTTAATTATTTTGTGGAATAGGTAATAATTTAAAGAAATAAAAATATGTTATCAATTGAAAAAAATTACTTCTTTTACTTTTATTTTAAAAGAAAAATAATTCCAATTATGTGAAAAATCAAAATGTTTTAAAACTATTTTGTTCCATAAAAAGGCTCCACGGTATTGAATGCAATATTTGCATTAAAAAATCAGTTGTTGGATATGTTTATTATTTCTTAATATATATATATTTTTTACTTTTATTGAATATAAATTATGCAAAGAAACAAGACATGCATTAACTTTACATTTAAACATAAAACAAAGAACGTTAAATATATTTGCTTCTTAAATATTAAGAATATTCATGTTAAATAGGCCTGACATAAGTAAAACGATCTTTAAAATTAATAAGACGTACTACATGCTTCTGTTGACAAAGCAAAGGCTTTAACTTAATTTTGTTAGTACTACCCTAGGCTATATTAGCATAGCTAATATGGCAGTGAACTAATAAGTAATATAGTTGAATTGAAGTATGTTTATAAAAATGCTTCTTGTTTTATATAGAATCCCAATACTTTATTCAATTTTATTATTTAGGTTTTCAATGTGGTTTTACCATGAAAGATTTTCATCCACTATAATACCTAAAAATTTATTATAAGTTACTCTTTTTATATTAAATTTATCAATCAAAAGCGGCGGCATTTCACTTGGTAGTATATGCTTTTTATATGCTGAATGAAAACGAATCCACTTAGTTTTTTCAATATTAAGTGAAAGCTTATTTGATTTAAACTAGTCAGATATTTTCTTTAGTTCTACATTAATGTCATTAAATAAGTTATTGATGTTTTTTTCGGTATAAGAAAAGATTAGTATCTTCAGCATACATTATTGTCATTAAATTAGAAGTTTTATAGAGGTCATTAATATAAATTAAAAATAAGAATAGTCCAAGTACGGAATCTGGTGGACTCCACAGGATATATCTAAAGCAGCAGTTGTTGAGTGTGTAGCAATATGCTTGAATTGTTTACGATTATTTATGTAACTTTTTAATACCATTAAGACTTTACCAGTGATACTGTAATGTCCTAATTTATATATGAGAATGCCGTGATCAATAGTATCAAAGGCTTTAGATAGGTCTATAAAAGTACCTAAAGTAAATTGTGATTTTTCAAAGGAGTCAGTAATAATTCTTGTGAGTTGCAGTACTGCGTGTTCTGTAGAGTTTTTTTTTTTTGAAACCGTACTGATTGTTGTAAAGTATATTACTTTCAGAGAGATGATTAAAAATTCAATCAAATAAAATTCTTTCAAGAATTTTCGAAAAAACTGACAAAACTGAAATTGGACGATAATTCCCAACATTTGCTAGTTCACCACCTTTATACATAGGGGTCACTTTTGCAACCTTCATTTGAGCCAAAAAATACCTTGACTTATTGAACAATTAAGAACTTTAAATAGAGTATTCTTTATATTATCGTATGATTTAATAACAATGTTTCCATTTAAATCATCTTGGCCAATTGTTTTATTGGGCTTTAGCATTTTGAAAGCATTTTCAAATTCTGAAAATGATAGTTCAAACACACTTAGACCAGAGGTTAGAGAAAATTCATAATTATTGATTGGATTTATCATGTTTGGATTGTTTTTTGAAAGATTAGGTCCAACAGAAACAAAGAATTTATTTAGTTCATTTGCTTTTTCTTTAGGATCATCTATAATTTTATCATTAATTTTAATAGCTTTAGGTAAAGAACACTATTATAAGTTTTGTTTTCCCGTGATTTCACTTATAATTTGCCAAGTCCGTTTTGATTTGAGTTTATGTTTCTCTAGCAAATTGAAATAGTATTTTTTTTTTGCATTT